TGGGCAATTAGCCATTACTGTATCTTTTATTAACCATCCAGAGTTTGGCCTATGAGGCAGCACAGAAATGTCACCAGGATTTTACTCTGCAGCTTCTTCCCATGCCACTCCACCACCATGTGAACAGAGTGACCATACAGGGCAGTGGTGGCGAACCTATGGCACACGTGCCACAGCAGGCGCACAAAGCCCTCTCTGTTGGCACGTGAGCCAAGTCGCCCAAGCATCGGATAACAGCAGACATAGGGGCCATGCGCATGCTCAGACAGGAGTAGCGGAGCCAGGCGATGACATCATGAGCCGTGACTCGTTAGCCACGACTCATCTGAGCTTTCGCACGGCCCCAGTTTTCAGGTTGGATTGCAGTGTTGGCACTTTGCAATAAATAAGTGGGTTTGGGTTGCAGTTTGGGCACTCGGTCTCTAAAAGGTTCACCATCACTGTTATAGGAGAATCCCATAATCTTTTTTCTTCCCATGGACTTCAACACAACATAGGCTTCTTCTAGCCAGAGGAGTGCAGAAAGAACCCAGTGAGGCTTGGATGCAAGAATATCTGAATCATTTCCAGTTACCTGCAGCAATTCATAGAACAACGGCAAAGGCAGCCCGGCGGGGGGGAGGGGGGCAGAGAGAGTGGCCTGACTTTTTAGCCTCACCTTCTTGAACTGATGGAAGGCACTTGTTGGTGAAGCTGTAATTCACAGTATCAAAGGCAACCGAGCCCAGTGTCCTGTATATGAGTTGGACTACAAGTCCCATAAACCTTAACCAGTATGACTATCAAAAAACACTAGGTTGAAGAAGACTGCCTTAGAAAAAAACAGCCAAAAAGGAGCTTGTTCACGCCTTGTTCCCATGAGCATTTCTATCTTCCATGCAAAGATGTCATAAGGAACGAAATGTTCTGATGGGAAAAATGTACTATGAGGCTTACATACAGCAGTTGCAGCCTGTACCTGCAATAAGTAGAGATGTTCCCAGATGACTAAATCTGGGCTGATCCTAAGTTCAGTTGATTAATCAATTAAATTTGCATACTGTAGGACTCATTGAGACCTGAGGGATGCATTAGTCATGGTTTACGTGTAACCAGTGGGCTGCAGTCGTGTTCAGCAGAGATGGGGAACCTGCCGGCTTCCAGACGCTGTTGACTGCAACACTTTTCATCGCTGCCAATGGCCTAGGCTGCCTGGGGCTTGGCTTCAAGGGGCCACTGCACTCGCGTGATCTGACGAAGCCAAATGCTTCCTTTTCAGAAAGGCACGTGGGAGACGCAGCAAACATGCAGGAAAAGGTTCTCTTTGAAGCCAAAACTGAACTTCTTGTCCTTGCTGTGAAAGGCGATACGTGCAGGAAAACTACAGTGCCCATCGCCCTGTAGTGAAGCATGGTGGTGGCAGCATCATGTTGTGGGAATGATTTTCCTCAGCAGGGACTTGGAAACTAGTCAGGACTGAGGGCGATTTGGCTGGAGCCAAATACAGGACCAATTCAGAGAAAAATACGTTTTCCAGGGAACTGGGCCTGGGATGGAGGTTCGTTTTCCAGGAGGACAATGACCCTAAACACACAGCCAAAGTAATACTAGAGTAGTTCAAAAGCAAGGCCCTGGATGTCTTCGAATGGCCCAGCCAAAGTCCACACCTCAACTTGATTGAGAATTAGTGGCAAGACTAGGAAGTTGCTGTTCACCAATGGACCCTGTCCAATCAGACAGAGGGGGAACAATTTTGCCAGGAAGAATAGGCAAACATTGCAGGATCCAGATGTGCAAATTGAGAGATTCGCCCATGAAGACTCACAGCTGTAATTTCTGCCAAAGGTGCATCTACCAAGTATTGACTTGAGGGTGTGTGTGAATACTTGTGCAACCAATAAGTAGCTATTTGTTTACATAAATCTTTGCTGCGATAAAAATGTTTGTGCCTTCAGTGTTAAGTGCCTTGCATACATCAAGTAGTAACAATGTCAGATCAATTTCAGTGTGGAAAAGTCAAAGGGAGATGAATACTTCTGCAAGACACTGTAAAACCTTGGTTTGTGTTAACATCTGAACCAGACCATATTATCAGTATAAGAAATAGTAGTTCACGGTGACGAATTTGCTTCTCACTTTGAAGACAAAGTTGCTCAGATACGCCACGACTTGGACTGTACAGTTGAGTTAGTCTCACTGAGAGAGGTGTCCGAGTACCATCTTCTTCAACTTCTGATGAATGATTTTCAATTACTGCAGCCTTATGATGTGGGCAAGTAACTTGGTTCTGTTCGTGCCACCACTTCTTTGCTCAACCCTTGCCCATCTTAGCTCAGCAAAAGATCTAGCCAAGGGGTTCACACCTGGGTCAAGGAGACCCTCAGTGCTTCACTAGGAGAGGGCATGAACCCAGTCTCTCTGAAAGAGGCTGTGGTAAGACCACTCTAAAAAGTCAAACCTGGACCCAGGGGCCTTTATAAATTACAGGCTGGTTGCAAATGTCCCATTTCTGGGCAAGGTGCTTCAGTGGGTGGTCACCAAGCAGCTCCAGCTACTCCAATCTAGATCCATTTCAGTCGGGATTTAGGCTAAGGTTTGGGATGGAGACTGCCTTGGTCACCCTGTGGGATGACCTTTGCTGGGAGAAGGACAGGGGGAGTGTGACCTGTTGGTTCTCCTAGACCTCTCTGGACAGACTGGCTGGGATGGGAGTTGCGGGTACTGTGTTGTGGTTCCACTCCTACCTGGCCGACCATGTCCAGAAGGTGGTGCTGGGGGACAGCTGCTCTGCCCCATGGCAATTACACTTTGGTTTCTTCAGGGCTCTATATCATCCCCCATGCTGTTCAATATCTACATGAAACGGCTGGGAGAAGTCATTCGAAGGTGGGGGCTGAGGTGTTATCAGTATGCTGATGACACCCAGTTCTACATCTTGTTTTCATCTAGTCCAGGTGATATGGTTTCCATCCTGAATCACTGCCTGAACTTGATAATGGACTGGATGAGGACCATTAAATTGAAGCTCAATCCAGGCAAGGTGGCAGATAGAAGAGGGGTCTTCTCAGTGGTTTCACCCCATTTGTGGAACAGTCTCCAAGAGCAGTTCACCTGGCACCATCACTGCAATCTTTTCAGCACTAGGCAAAAATGATCCTATTCTCTAGACACTTTAATAATTGATTTTATACTGCTTAATCTTAAGGCATAGAGTTTTCTATTGTTCTTTAGTTTTAATATACTATTTTAATCTATTTATATCTGATTCTTCAGCTGCATATTATATAATTTATTGTATACTCTTCCTCTATTGTTTTTATATGTCTGTATGTTTTATGTTTTTTACTTTTTTTTGGTAACTTGCTTAGAGAGTCCTTGAGACTAATTAACTGTGGAATGTAAGTTGAATAAATAAAAAAAAAGAATATCTTCTCTAGTAAATTCAGTGACAACAGTAACTTCTATAGTGTTAGTTTCTCTTTACATAAATGATGTATATTGGAATATTTAATGTACCACTAAACATCTGTTATAGATCTCTAGTGTAGTATATCCTCAGTCTCAAAACATAAGAAACATTAAATATGTATTAGTACAAGCACTGCAAAATGTCTCAAAATTACTATATGCACATAACAGCATTATCAATATTTGGCAACATTTTTAGAACAGAATATATAAAACAAATAGCATGATGCTCCCAAGAATTATTCTGTTTATATAATGAATTGCTCACCTTCGTTCAAATTTAGGAACCATGTAAATTAGATGCCAACATTCAAGTATGGTGAGGTAATATCAGGAACATTGGCAAATCTCTGCTGAATATAAATTGCCTTGAAAGTTCTCTTAAAATGTGTAAGTATTAAATTTGCCCTCAGAAACACATACTGGGTTTGCATGGCCCTCTGCATTTGTGCTCCTATTTTGCTGGCATTCTTAGGTACTTGATTCACTGTTGGTTGAATTGGTTTTCTCTATTTTCTAAGATGCTTTCCTCCTATGACACTTGAGAACGTCTCAGCTGGGTTTCACACTTACCAAGTCAGCTTCACCTGACCAGATGATCTGCAGATGTATTGGGTTCCTACTATTCCCAGTCGGAATACTTGGAAAAACTTGTGATCCACTGTCACAGTATGACAACTTTCCTCTAATGAAAAACAAAGATGGCTTCCCTACCTCCTGATACACACATAGAGAATCAGGGAGAATTCAGCAAAAGAAGACAGACAACTGCATGCCCTGTGAGAATGGGGAGGCGCTTTTGGGGGGATGAGTGGGAAGCTTGTAAAAAAAAGTAGGAAGTGGTGCTCAGCATTTAATGATAGGGAGCAAAGACTTCCCCCTGCCCATGTGCTTCCCTTAGTTTCCTGTGGCAGCTGTGGCTTCCAGGCCGCTCCAGGATCATTTCTCTTTTGAAAGTAGCAGAAGTAATTAACACGGGCAGCTGCATTCAGACTGGTTGTTGACACTGAACCAGTTTAGATGTTACAGTAAGCCATCATGTGTTAATTAATGCTTTGGGAACTGGAGGAATTCCATCCCTTAGGAACATTTAATCATAATGAGATCTACATTGGGCACCATCATTCTCCCTTCCTCAGGCACTACTAGACACATTCCCCTTGGATTCAGGGAGTGGCAGGATATCATTTTATGGAGATGTGTCAGAAAAGGTTGGGACAAACAAGCTTCAGGCACACCTAGACAACAGATCCAAGAGCACTAGATATCAGGCTAAATATCAGGAAAGGTTTCCTCACTGTCAGAGTAAGACGGCAGTTGGCTAGAGAGGTGGCGGGCTCTCCCACACTAAAGACATTCAAAAAGAAACTGGACAGCCATCTGAGTGGTATGGTGTGACTTGGTGTCCTGTAACAGCAGGGCGTTGGACCTGATGGCCCTCATGGACCCTTCCAACTCTACTATGATTTAGTCCAGCCATGCTTCTATGGAAGTAAAGTGATAGGATTCAACAATTATCACTTTGCTAAATAACAATGCCATGACTCCAAAGAGGTATTAAAAATCCTCAATTTTTAAAAAGTTTATTTTTCAATTATAATTTTTGGATAACCAAGCAGCTTTAGAGAGAGAAAGCACAGAAGTGTATCTGGCACTTTTGGATAGTACATAATCATTTTGCCCAACATTTCTAAAACACATTCAGTCCACTTGCTTGGTCCATGGTCCATGTTTCCTTGAGCCTATGTACACCATATATATACAATTTGTGAGACTATCTTCTTGGCTACTTTGGGGCTGTTCAAAGATGTCCTCTAGTCTATCTTTGCTAAACAGAATCCACAGGACACACTGTAACTAGAGAATACACCGAAGTGAAATGGCGAGTCATTCAGCACAGACAGTTGATGGCATGCAGTTTAAAGGTACAGCTTCAGAAATGTTTTAAAAATCTGAATATTCAAGGCGCTAGCAAAAAGGGGGTCTGTTCATTATTCCTGTAAAAAAGGCACTTGGAGTGGGGACTGGAACTGGAGGAACTGCAGCTGACTTAAAATTCAGTTTGGTTTCATAAAAAGGCTCTTCAAATTCCACGGAATGCCATTCAGGCTTCATATAGATAACTCAGTTGCTGTGCAGACTACAAGACATACAATGTTTTACAACTACTTTGTAAATAAGTAAGAAAAGTATAGTTTAAACAAAGATTACTAAAAAGCAGCAATGCATAGCCTTCCTTTGAGATAATGCATATCTGTAGACGTCAAGTGTTGAATTCTAATTAAGTATACCCTTTCAGTAGCATCATCATGATACAATTGAATTAAGCAAAAGTAACATTGTTTCACATAGATCCCTTTCCAGGGAAATCTGAGGTCACAATCTGCCATACCACATGCCAATATGTCCGAACGCCCTTGGTGGCTGATGTCAAGTAAATGGAATCAAAGTCGCACTCCTTTAAGCTCTCCTGTGGGAAATCATATTGATTTTTGAGAGCAACGATTTGAATTTGCACAGTAATTCCTTGCGTGTACTTTCTCTGTTGTCCTCCCAAGGGTTATTTCCAACCCCTTTCTCCCTATCTGTGGACAAACTGAGAACATCCACTGAAAATATATTTGGCAATTTTATATTCCATTGGAAAAAGATAAATCCGTTGTAGCTCACTTTAGATTGAAAGCCATGAGGGGCCTTTCCTCTCGCTTTTGCCAAGGACTTTTTTTATCTTCCCCTTGGTCATCATCGTCATCGCCATCCTCCTCTTCTTCAGCTTCGTTGTGGATCGTTGTTCCATGTTCTGGACTTGTTAAAGGCTCAGGTGAACTTTCTACAGTTCTTTTTATCGTTTCCTCCTGCAGACTAGGCAACTGGCCGGCTGTTCTTCTGCCTCCCCCTTCCAACAGGCATCTCAGAGTACTGTCTTCTGGGCTGCAAACTGCAGTTCCACATTCACTGCCACTTTGGTCCATATCCTCCAAATATACAAGCTGAGTGTAAGCTGTGCTATCTGGAGCTTTCTGCTCTTTTTGTGGATGTACCTGCGCTTGCTGATGGGTTTGTTGCAGAGATAAATGGTCCCCTCTTCCCTTTCGGGCGGATTTGGGCTCATTCATGTCAACACCAGAATCCAAACTGGCATCATTACTTCCGTTCCTTCCAGCTCTTTGAAGATCAATGTATGAATGTCTCACATGAGCATTTGAACGCCCATCTAGAGAAACAAACCATGCCCGAGGATGAGGCAAAGGCTTACCTCCACCCAACTCCATTAGCGCTTTCTCCGTAAGAAGCTGCACTTCGCTATTCATTTGTGCCAGGGAGGCATCATTGAGTGATGCTGGAATGGATACCGATTCAGACATAGAAACGTGTTGTGGGCTCCATTCACTAGCACCAGCTTCTTGCAAATGTTGTTGAGATATTGCTTGAGCAGCCAACTGCTGAGGCTGCATCTGTTGCTGGGAATGTGGGAAAAGCTGGGAATGAGGGCTTGACAGCTCTGCTTGGAGTCTTTCGATATCGATTTGTTGATCGGTAGGAACAACCAAAGGCTGGCTAACATAAGGATGTTCCCCAGGAAGCTTCATGTAATGACCTGGAATGACTAACGTAGGCAATACTTTTCTGTAAACACTGTCATTAACCTGATCGACAGAATTGCAGCAGACCAGCTGACCTGGCCGAGGGAAAGAGGTGGGTCTTTCGAGATGGTCAACAGAGCGAGACATCATACATTCAGTGGGTCTGCAGTCTAGCAGTTCTGTTTCAGGTGTGGAAGGGATGGGATAGAGTTGTTCCTGAATATTGTATTTACTTCCTGTAGAAATATGGTTCATGGATGCTTGCTCTTGCTTTTCAAATAAAGGCCGAGCCAACATCGCATTGTAACTCCTCCTATGATCTTCCTTGTCAGGAGAGTCATAGCCTTCCAATGTTTCCATAGATTTTCTTGGGTTTATAGGAAAATTATCCACCGATTTAAGGTAATCTTTTCGCAAAGTTTCACTGGGCGCCATGTTTTCCAAAGATATCCGGCTCTGGTCCTTCTCCTTGTGGGAAAGCAATTCTTCTCGGGAACTAAATTCCTGTGAGGTGCTGTATGTATGTCTGAGCATGGGAGTGTGCATATCTGCTTCTCCACCCAAACACACTTTCTCCATGTGGACAGCCCCAATCATCTCCTTGTGACCTGAGGATTCTGCGTGTCTGTTGCTAGCAACGGATAGCCCACCAGGAAATTCTGACTCACGGCGTGAAAATATTAAGTTGAGGTGAGACATTGAGGTGGATTGATCCTTTTTGGAGCCGCTCAGTGTCGAGGACAGCTGCAATTTCTTGTGACGTGGTTTCAAACACTTTCTTCTGTCATAAAAAAGAACAAGAGATAGTTAACATTAAGTGAGACCTACACCAAAATGTTGCAAGAAAACATCACCCTGCAATGGTATTCCAATTCAGTTTCAGCCAGCAGGGGACAGATTCCAGTTGCATGTGGGACAAAAGGAGCCAGGCCAAAATACCAGTGGTATTTTAGGCTACAAGTTCTCATGAGCAGCACTAAGCCTTATGAGATGCATTCCAACCCTTTAGAAAAGGGGGGCAGGAATGCTGAAAAACTGGGAAACACTGCTGTCTCCCAAAAATCAGTGATTAGGGAAAAGAGAAGGGGCAGGGTTATCTGGGGAGCCCTGGAGAGCTGGGTTTAGCCCAGATGTTTGGCACTTCTGTGCTAGGACACTGAACAAATGGGGTAAAACAAAATCCAAAGATACACTTCCACTTTACACTTATGTAAAGTGTTACCAGGGGCAGTGTTACCAATTAGAACACTGCAGATGTTTCTAGAAAGGTCTGTCCAATCATGGGTTATTTATTTTAGACAGTCCAACTTCAAAAATAAAAATAACCATCAGAAACCTTACCTGCAATAGTACAAAAGAAGGCCCAGCAATACAAGAAATATTAGAGACATTCCTCCTAGAATCGCCAAAAGGAACACCGTGTGGTATGTGGCAATGTCTTGGGTTACAACGGGACCTGGAAGAGAGAACGTTGTAAAGAAATCCATCTTGGAATGTGCAGGTGTAAATGAATACCTAATAAACTCATGTGCAGCTGAATAAGGCGACAGATGAGGCAGCGCACCTTGCTGATGAGGGATACCACTTTTAAGGCTTCCCCACATAAAAATGGTCTAGTAAGTCAAATATTAGCACATCAGAGAGAAAAGTATTAGTCAAGCCAGCTCCCTCTTTCACACAGGGAAGCATTCAAAAGTGTGCCTCATCCCTGCCAGATGGTTGCGACATACAATCTATTTCACCACTTTGGATCTTGAACACCTTGTGCCAACCACAAGCAGGCCCAAAACAGAAAATACATCAGTGCTGGGAACCCACTGCTGTCATGGTGACAGCAGACTCATTCCTGCAGCCAGAGGGTGGTGAGCAGGAAAACTTCAGCCAGCATTTGAGGGGTAGGAAAAGCCAGGAAGGCAAAATTTATGGACTAGCAACAGTGTTTCTGAAGTCCATCGTACATCACATTCTGCAGCTGGAGGATTTGAAGGGGGCTGCAAGGGGGGCTTTCCAACTTCGCAGCTTCCCTGCCCTCCACACATAAACGCGTGCATGAGGTGATTTGATGTGTAAGAGTTGAATCACCTCACGCAACTCTCTCCTGTTCTCTGCAGCAAACGCCACAGAAGATTGAAACAGCATCTGCAGTCTGTTCTCAAGATTCACGGATGCACTGTGAAATAAACAAACCTTTGCACTGTGAATGGCATCCAGGGCTGCATGAGCAGAAGGCAAGCGCAAGTGACGGATCTTTCCTTTCTCTGTCTCTCACCAGTGGCTAAGGGGACCTACTCAACACTGTATCTTATGGGGCTGCAGCAGGAATGAAGAAGTCCTGAAATGAGGAACTTTAGGAAAGCCTCACAAGATTCCTCCACCCAATTTCAGGCAATTTTCCTTCTAAGGCAACCCAGTAAGATTGTCCAGCAGTCTTCCTGGTACACTGGAGAAGTTACAGGGGGCTGCGGGGTGAGGAGGAAAGATCTGTTGCAGAAACTCTCATCCAGCAGTGAAAAAGTAGGCGGCATGGCACCTGTCAGCACCAGGTACCTTTGGATACCTTTCCCGAAGCCCAGAATGCCCCCCTTCCTTTTTTTGTTTTTTTAACCACAAAGTTTCTGAATTGCAGCTTGAATTGGTTCAAAGCAAGGTGAGGGCCTTAGCTGCCCCCCTCTCCTTCCCCCATAAATGTCCTTCGGCCACACATGGGACTAAATGACCTTTTCAGGTAGTTGGACCATCTGCAATGTGACCCGTTGGTGGATTGTTTCTCAAGCCACCAACTGTGCTTCACTGGATTTCATCTCATATGTTTTGCAGTTTTTTCTGGAACATTGGAGGAGAAATCTATTTCACCTGGATTTGTGGGTGACATGGCAGCAACCCAGTAGCCCAGCTGTGGAGCAATGTATGTCCAGGTCATCTCATGTCCTTCTTGTTCTATGACACCTAAACTGCTTTTCAACCAGGTCCCTGTAAGAAAAGGAGTTCAGAACATTTAGTAGGACACTAAGGCATAACAACTTAATTTTGTTAAGTAATTTAAAATATACTGACAAATACAATTGTGAGAAGTAATCTTGCTCTAACGCTGCCCCCCGACCTTATTTTTCATTTAATAAAAAGAGATCGATTCTGAAAACCTCCGTACCCTTCACTGACATTAAGGATGCAATTCTTTGCATGCTTAAACAGAAAAAAGGCCTGTAACTTTCTTCTGCAACTTTTCCAGTCTAAACATGTAGAGGACCATGACAGCAATGGCTTACTCACGAGTAAGAATGTGTAGAACTGTCTGCAAGGATCAAGCTAGGCGCAGTACTAAATGCATCACTTGAAATCACCTTAAAAATAGTAACAGGCAGTGTGAGATTGTTAACCATTTCCTCCCCAACCAAAACTCCAATACAAATCTCCCCAGAAACATTTCCTCTCCCACAACAGTCTCAATAAAAATTTTCACGAGACGTGCGGAAGAGGAGGAAACAGCTGAATCTCTCCTCTCTGCACGCTCTGGTCCTGATGCTGTTGTGTTTTTTTTATTCAAAGAAAAAGACCCGACTTCAAGTGATGCATTCAGCGTCATGCCTAGTTCAGTCCTGCACTGACTAACAACAAAGACCACTAACAGGCCTTTGGCAGCTATGAAACACCAGCTGAGTTTCCCTGTTGTGCCCTGCAGTATTTACACTCTTTTCTGATGCCTCCTGCTCTATAAACATCTGCACAGGAATCTCTCCATGTAACAAATCTGTAACAAGAAGATCTGGGAAGTTACGGAGTTCTGGCACAGCACTAGCCATTTCCCCTTTTCCCATTTTATATTGCTCCTTCCTTGCTCCCTTAAGGATCAGAAGGAACGATGGAGGCTGCATGTGCGATGCAGGATGCTGCCTAATCCTGGGTCAGAAGGCATCAGTCTTTGTGTCCAGGAGCATATGCTTGAATGTCACTGCTTTTAGGGCTTAGGGCAGGAGTCTTTCCCCCACCCCATTCTGGAGATGCTCAAGAATAAACCTTCAGTAAATCTACCAGTGACCTTCAGCCAGTTCTCCTACATGATCTGGTGCACTGAGTGGGGACCCTTGGATCTCATTTATTTATAACATTTTGTGTTCTGCCCTTTTCCCCTTGCAAGGAATAGCTTAAAAGGTGGCCTGTTTACCTTCATAACAATCCTGTGAGACAGGTTAGGCTGAGAGTCAATGGCTGACCCAAAGACACCTAGGGCCTTCATGGCTGAACGGTGATCGGCAAGATGAAACCGGACAGCCATCTGAGAGGGATGGTTTAACTGGGAGTCCTGCATGAGCAGGGGGTTGGACCTGATGTCCTTCGGGCCCCTTCTAACTCTACTTTCCATGACTCTAACCTGTGTCTCCTTAGACCTAGTCCAACACACCTGGCCACTATATCACACTGGCAGACTAGTTAATCACAAGTATATTGAATCATGCCTTCTTCCTCCTTGGGAAGGATCATGAACAGCTTCCCATGACCACAGTTCTTATGGTTGTAAGCCATTAACAGAGCAATCTTGTGAATAACTACTCAAAATTACATGACACCAAGTTCAATGGTACCTATGATTCCCTTTGGTACAGGATACAACATAAATGTTGTATCCTGCATACCTGCATAAATAACCACTAACATCATGCTTACTCTATTTAAGGTTGTGGGAATCACTGTTTTGATTTTTTAAAAGTGTCTTTAGAGGCATTAGGATATAAATCAAATGTTCAAATGCAGAATGAAAATGAAAAGAATTTGCTATGCCGAATTTTATTTTAGAGAACACCTGCAATTTTGCTGTCTTACCACCAGTGGGCACCATAGTTAGCAGTGAAGAGAAGTGATAAGAAAAGATTCCTGAAGACCAGAACCATTCGAGTTTGACTGTATTTATTAGAGACTTCATTTGGTTTGAACTAATGGGCCAACTCCTACTCATTTTGAGATTCTCAGAAGCTACTGATCCTAATGACTCATTTAATATCAAATTATATATTATAAAATAATGTAATTATCATATTAGAATTATTAAATGCAGAGGAATATGTAAGACACCTTGGGTTACTTGCAGGAAAAAGGTGAGATGTAGACATAATGAATAAATAAAGAGCAGTCTGTGTTGCAATTCTGTCTCAGGTAAAGTAACATTTGCCATCAAGAAAACCAGAAATATTCGAGTTACTTGGAAATACAAAAACCATCTATCAAAGCCGATAATATTCCCTAGATAATCTAGATTCCCTACGTAACAAAATAATATGTTATGAAACACTGGGGAAATCTTGACTTTATGGCAGTGCTCCTTGCTGAAGGTATTCTACTGGGGGAAACTTACATCCAGCACCCCCGACTTGTGTCACTATTCACTGATGCAAACAGAATTTTTGCAATGCCTCTTTAAGAGTCCCTTCCTTTTCAGTACATTTCCTCTACATAATGCACCCTGGGAAGAAGCGAACGCAAAGCAGATGAGATCAACCTACTTGCCTGATGGTTTCAGGGCCACCACCAGCTCACTAAACATCTGTTTCTGTAAAGCCAAGCAAGGATGGGGCCAGACGATGCTGAAAAGACGCTGCCCCAAATGCACCTAAAGTAACAGTGCCAGGTTCTTTGCAGTCAATCTGTGTAGCTTATTCTACTGGCCAACCTTTTTCTTTTTACTAAATGAACTGTCACAAAGCAAAAGCAATATGAATGCATAATAGTCAATATTTTCATTATTATTATTCATGTAATTGCTTTTAACTTGCAAGCTACCCCAAATGATGTAAAAGGACAGGATATAAATACAAAATATTGACATATTTTTATGAAAAACCAATAGAAAGAAGTGCTTCAACCCCAATCAGAGACCTAATCATCTCCCAGTGTAACAATGAACTACTTCATAGTTTTTCTCAGTTCTTTTCAGAGAATTCCTTCCAGAATTCCCTTTTTTCCTCATGCAGGCTAATTGAAATCAACAGATTTCTCTAGGTATAGCTAGATCTTTTTATTATATTTTTTACCATGGGGATACCACCTGGTCTTCATATCTCAGACCCAAGTAATCTTCTACAGTAGATTTCTTGGTGTGTCATCACAGGGCTGTCCTCCTTTTGCATGGATCCTCTGCTAGATGGATCAGGGAAGAGACAGCACTAGCTGGCAAGCTGCTTCTCCCCGGCAAGCTCCAACACCATTCATCCCCATTAAATCTATAGAGTTCCTGAAGGAACCCTCTTCCTGCCAAAACTCAGCATGGAATCCTCTGTCGTCACTGTTTATTCAAAAATTTTCCCAAATATGGGTTCAAAGTTGTTTAAATATATATATACATATATAGTGCTGGAAGGCCTATTTAATTACCTACATTTAAAACTCTATAACTCTCCACCTGACTATTTTGTTTAAACCAACTTGCTGCTGTCATTTCGCACCATAATGCTGGCTTCAACAGCAAGTCAGTCAATATCTGACAGAGACAACGGAACTTTTGCTTTTTATAGAATTTTCCATGGAACAAATTGCTGCTGGTTTTTATAGGCCGAGATCGATGCACATTTGGCTCCAGAAGAACCCAGATGAGATCATGTTTCTGATTCTGCTCCAAACATACAGTACTTGTATTAGGATACTTTTTAAAAGAAGTGCTGTAACTCTTTGTGGGGGTGAGTGGGTCAACAGGTAACAATCCATCAAGGTATTTCTTTGTTCCTCTCTGGGAAGAAATGCTATTCTTGATGGTCAGTGGGGAAACTGGTGGGCCAGGGCCTGCTTTTTATAACCAGGACAGAGAAAAGCAGCAAAACCTATGCAGGAAAACAGCGTGAAGATAGATGGAGCTGCATTATGCTGAAACCTCCTTTTGATGCCATATTACTGATATGGCCACTCTGTTCCACTGTTATGCCATGCACCCTCCAGAATGGTTTTGGGGAATGTGTGTGGGCTGCAGAGAGGAAGGGAAAATCTGCCTCCCCCCCACGGTTTCCATTCAACAAACATTGACTTGACTCTGTTAAAGAGCCCCTTATTCACAGAGGTACCACCAGGCCGAGCAGATGCACAATCAGCACGTCCAAGACCATTTATTATTTTTTTTTCTGGTGGCTTGGGCCATGATCACAGTAAATGCAAGCTTATTTTAACATTATATCATGTTTTTCAATAAGCTCAATGCTAACACTATAAAGGATTAAACTGCTGTGTCTTTTCTTCTACTTGGTAAAAACTTCATTCCAGGAACTGATAAGAGAAATTTACAATTTTATCTTGCTGCACCAATACTGGCATCCCAACTATTCTACTGAAAAATGACCCTGTGCATTTAGTTTTGCCACTTGCTGTAGTGCACTTGGCAAATGATGGCCATCGCCTTCATTTTCTGCAATGGGCCGGTGCAAAAACTCACCTTCACCCCACAATGCTGCAGGCCTGCGGTGTTTTCAAGCTTTAGTAGCAAGACATGTAAACAGGAGGCTGAATGGTCAAACTAATGGACTAGACATCCAATGAGCACCACATGTGTATGTTCCACTCATTTGTAGTTTAGGAAAATCACCTCAGTCGTCCCTAACCCAAAGTCCTCTAGATGAGCTGGACTACAACTCTCATCATCACAACCCAGCACACCTTGCATTTAGACGCTCCTAGGTATAATTCCTGTTGTCTCGATATAACCAGGCCATCAGGATTTGGAAGAACCTGAGTCTTTGGGAGCCACTGACAAATCTAAATGGGCCATTTTTACATGAACAGTGATGGACTTACGTCAGATATTGTAAAAGGATTACTTAATAAAGAACACGAACTGGTTTTCTCAGAATAAACGTTTATCTAATTCCTGTGTGTTTGGGACAAATGAATAATCAAATAGCCTGTGTCAGAATACTGACATTAATGAAGTACAGCATAATTCAGTATAAGATTTAGTGACAGACAGAAAAGGGGGGGCTGGGCAATGCTGGGAGTTG